AAGAGGCTTCCATAGCTTGGAAGCTCATGACAAGAGCCTCAGGTGATAACTTACATCATAAATAAGAGTGTCAATTGTTAAATCAACAATAAGAGTCACTGTGCACTTACTACCCATGTAGGATCTCTGTTCTTAATGTGTTGTACTATGTGAATTAATGGTAAAACTAGTACTCAAACAGTACTTTACACTTTGGGTTTCTGTATGGGTGCAAACTGTTGAAATCTTTACTTAGTAAATACTAAGTTGATCTTCTGTATATAAAGATAATTGAAAATGAATCTTGATGAAGAATGGGATGGGAGAGGGAGTGGGAGATGGGATGGTTGAGGGTAGGAGGGAGGTTATGGAGGGAAAAGCCACTATAATCCAAAAGATGTACTTTGGAAGTTTGCATTTATTAAATAAAAGTTAAAAAAAAAGAAAAAAAGAGATTATCCTTACCGCACTGCATGGTTTGAGCAGTATGTCAAAAAATAAGTTCACTGTATGTATGTGAATGAATTTCCAGGCTCTCTATTCTGTTTCATTGATTTATGTTTTGGTTCTTATGCCAGTACCATGTTATTTTAATTGCTATAGCTTTGGAGTATGCTTTGAAGTCAGGTACCGTGATGCCTCCAGCTTGATTTTTTTTTTCTTTGGTTCAGGATCACTTTAGCTTTTCTGGGTCTTTTGCGATTCCACATGATGGCTTTTTCTAATTCTATAAAAAATGTCATTGATATTTTGATAAGGATTGCATTGAATCTGTAGATTGCTTTAGGTAGTATAGACATCTTAATGATATTGAGTCTTCTGATCTATGAGCAAGGGATATCTTTCCATTTTTTTGTGCTCTTGATGATTTCTTTGATCAGTGTTTGATCATTTGCATTGTAGAGATCGTTTTCTTCTTTGGTTAAATTTATTGCTAAATTTACTTGATTTTTTGTGTGTGTGACTATTATGGATGGAATTTCTTTCTTCATTTCTCTTTCTGTGAATTCATCATTAGCAAACAAGGAAGCTACTTTTTTTTGTGTTTATTTTGTAACCTGCAACTTTATTGAATTGGTTTATCAATTAATTCTAAGAGCTTATTGGTGAAAAATTTAGGTTTTTCCCGTATGATATCATGTCATCTACAAACTTAATAATTTGACTTCCTCTTTTCCAACTTTGATATTCATTATTTCTTTCTCCTCTTAGTAAAATTTCTAATACTGTATTTAATAAGAGTGGCAAAAGTGGACATCCTTGTCTTGTTCTAGATCTGAGGGAAAATGCTTTCAGCTTTTCCCATTTGGTATGATATTGGCTGTTGGCTTATGGTATACATCCTTTATAATTTTAAGGAATACTCCTATATCTAATTTGCGGAGAGTTTTTATCATGAAGAGTTGCTGAATCTTATCAAATGCTTTCTCTGTATCTACTGAGATGACCATATGGCTTTTGTTCTTCATTCTATTGATGTGATTTGTGATTTTTACTGAGTTGTGAATGTTGAACTACCCTTGCATTTCTGAGATAAATCCCACTTGGTAATGAGGTATGACCTTTTTGATATGATCTTGGACTTGAATTGCTAGTATTTTGTTGAGAATCTTTGTACCTATGTTCATTAAAGATATGAATTCGTGGTTTTCTTTTTGTATCATATATTTGGCTTTAGTGTCAAAGTAATGCTAGTCTCATAAAACGTTTGGTAGAGTTCCATCCTGTTCAATGTTTTGGAATAGTTTGAGAGTGTTACAGTTACTTTCTCTTTGAATGTTTTGTAGTAAATCATCAGGTCCCAGACTTTTCCTTGATTTAACACTTTTGATTACTGCTTCAATGACATTGCTTGTTATGGGTTTGTTTAGATTGTCTATATCTCTTGATTTAATCTTGATAGCTTTTACGAATCCAGGAATTTATCCATTTCTTTGAGGTTTTCTAGTTTATTAGTATATAAGCCTTCATGGTAATTTCTTATAATCACTTGTATTTTAATCTTTTTAAATTTACTGAAACTTGATTCATAGCCTAATATGTGGTCTTTCCTAGAAAATGTCCCATGTGCTGTTGAGAAGAATGTGTATTCTGAAGCTATTGGGACAAATGTCCTGTAACTGTTAGGTCCATTTTCTCGATAGTAAATTTCAACTCTGATGTATCTTTATTGACATTTTGTCTAAATGATCTGTCCACTGATGAGAGTGGAGTGTTGAAGTCACCCACTATTATGGTATTGGAGTCTATCCCTCCATTTAGGTGTAATAGTATTTGCTGTGTATATCTGGGTGGCCTTCTGTTGGGTGCAAATATATTTATGATTGTTATATCTTCTTGTTTCATTGAACCTTTTATCAAAATATAATGCCCTTCTTGGTCTCTTTTTATGGTTTCTTATTTAAAGTCTGGTTTATCTGATACCAGGATAGCTATGCTTGTTCAGTTTTGGTTTTCATTTGTCTGGTATATCTTTTTCTAACCCTTCACTTTCAATATGTTTGTATCTTAGTGAAGTGAGTTTCTTATAGGTAGCATATAGTGGGGTCATGATTTTTTTATCCATTCAGCCAATCTAAGTCTCTTGGTTGGTGAATTTAACCCATTTACATTCAAAGTTAGTAGATAGATAAGAACTAAGACTTCTCATTTTGTTGACTGAATAACGATTCCATCTGTTCTGTTAGTGAATTTGATGGTGTCATGTATTTTCATGTAGGGTTTTATTTCAGGACACCCTTCACAATTTATTGTAATGCTGGCCTGGTGGTGAATTCTCAGTTTTTGCTTATCTGAAAAATACTTTATTTTTCCTTTACTTTTAAAGGATAGCTTTGCTGAATATAATATTTTTGGTTGGAATTTTTCTTTTAAGACCTTAAATATATCATCCCACTCTTCTGGACTGTAAGGCTTCCATTGAGAAGTCTGATATTAGTCTAATTGGTTTTCCTCTATATGTAACTTAACACTTTTCTCTTACTATATTTAGAATTCTCTCCTTGTCTTTAACTTTTGACAATTTGACTGCACTATGCTTTGGAGAAGACCTTTCTGGTAGAGTGTACTTGGGGTTCTTTGAGTTTCTTTTATATGGATGTCCAGGTCTCTTTCAAGACCTGGGAAATTTTGTTATGCCTTTTTCTTTTTTCTTCTCCTTCAAGAATACCTATAACACATAGAATCCTATATTTCAAGTATACTTTCTTCATTTTTTAAAATTCTTTTCTATTTATTTTTGTCTGGGTTATTTCAAAATTCTTGTCTAAAAGTCAGAAATTCTTTCCTCTGCTTGACCCACTCTACTGTTAAAGCTCTCAATCATATCTTTTATTTCACTGACTGAAAATTTCATCTCCAGGGTTGGGGCTATGGTGTAGTAGGTTAACCCTCTGCCTGTGCCAATTCAAGTCCTAGCTGCTCCACTTCCAATCCAGCTCCCTGCTAATTGCCTGGGAAAGCAGTGCCTGGAAAACCTTTAGGCCCCTGCACCCGCATGAGAGACCCAGAAGAAGCTCCTGGTCCTGGCTTCAGACCAACCCAGCTTTGCCATTGTTACCATTTGGGGAGTGAATTAGCAGATGGAAAACCTCTCTGTCTCTCTTTCTTTTTCTCTCTCTTTAACTCTGCCTCTCAAATAAACACATTTTTTAAAAAACAAAATTTCATATGCAAAATTGGTTTTTCTTAATGAGTTCCATCTCCTTAGTATTATTTCCATGTATGTCATTCATTGATTTCCTCATTTATTTAATCTATCTGCAGTGTCATGCATATCTTTGAGTTTCCTTACAAACATTATTTTAAATTCCCTGTCATTTCATAGATTTCCTTCAGTTCAGGATCTAATTCTGGAGAATTAGTGTATTCTTTTGGAGAATCACACTTCCTTGCTTCTGCATGTCACACCTGGTATACTCATTCCTTCTTTATGGAGTAGGCTTTATTGGAAAATATTTTATGGCTTAGTTGGAATGCAGAGTGTCACTTGGCTTGTTCCTTTGGCTTTGGTTGTAGGTAAGCCCAGGAGTGTAATCTCTGAATGATTTCTTTTCTCTTAATGTAAGGTGTGTCTATAAGTGACACAGTGGTCTAGTCTGCTGCAGTTCGTAGGGATAGAAGTGTGGCTGTGAGATAAGTGTTTCCTTGGGTGTGTATCTTTGGTCCAGAGAGAGTTTAGTGTCAGTCTTTGGTGAATTTGATAGCCAGGGCCTTGTTCTTGGTGCTGAGGAAGACAAGGGTGGCTACCCCCCTTGTCGTACTGGCCAGCCTGAATGATGCCAATTGCTGTGGCTCTAAGACTATGTGATATGGATGGACCCTTCCTCAGTTCCTGCTAAGAGAGTCCAACTAGTGTTTGTGGCTTATAATACCAACAGCCCTAGTCCTAGGACTTGGGGATGTAAAATGAACTCTGTTCCAGCCCTGCAGGATGACTACAAGGTATACAAGAGATTTTACCCTGGAAGGTATGAGTCCAGAGAGGCAGAATTCAAGTAGGTTCTTCCCTATTTCCATCAGGTAGATTCCAGTTGCACCAAGATATTTGGAATGAATTGTTAGAATCCTGCCATTGCAAGGTATACTGGGGTCACTACCCAGATATCCCAGGGTGAGAGCAGATTTTTTATGGGTTGCTTCTGGTGTTAGCTCCCCAGAATCTAAGGTGAATCCCCTTGGCTTACATAGAGTGTATGAGTGTAGCTCTGGAGCTAATGCCCCAAAACTCCACAGTCCCAAGATGCAGGGGATCTGCACTTTGTCCCACATGTTGCCCTTACTCTTAACTATGATGCTGGTAGAAGCAGAACAAAGGTGCACTGTTTAACTTTTTGATACCAAGTAGGTGCTCTGTGCAGGTGGAGAAAGGGAGGAAAGCAAAGCAGCTGCCTTGCTCTAAGCCCAGCAGATGCTCAGACCCCTGTCAGCTCTCCAGGCTAAAGAAAAAGTCATTGGGTGACTGTGTAATTCCCCCTCAGCTAAAACAGTGAGCAGAGGGGCATGTGGCAATTTCTTCCTACCTTGACATGGTAAGATGGCAGCTCACAGTTGGCAGCTGACTGCACCACACAGCTTGCCACAGTGGTGTGTCTTCTCTTCTCTTCTCTTCTCCCATGGAGTCTTTTTTTTCTTAACTTTTATTTAATGAATATAAATTTCCAAAGTACAGAATATGGATTACAATGGCTTCCCCCCCATAACGTCCCTCCAACCCGCAACCCTCCCCTTATCCACTCCCTCTCCCCTTCCATTCACATCAAGATTCATTTTCGATTCTCTTTAGATACAGATCAGTTTAAGTAAAGATTTCAACAGTTTGCTCCCACACAGAAACATAAAGTGAAAAATACTGTTTGAGTACTAGTTATAGCATTAAATCTCAATGTACATACAGCACACTAAGTCCAAACATCCTTCATGAGGAGTAAGTGCACAGTGACTCCTGTTGTTGACTTAACAAATTGACACTCTTGTTTATGGCATCAGTAATCAACCTAGGCTCTTGTCTTGAGCTGCCAAGGCTATGGAAACCCCCTGAGTTCACTGACTCTGATCATATTTAGACAAGGCCATGGTCAAAGTGGAAGTTCTCTCCTCCCTTCAGAGAAAGGTACCTCCTTCTTTGATGACCCATTCTTTCCACTGGGATCTCACTCGTGGAGATCTTTCATTTAGGTTTTTTTTTTTTCCCCCAGAGTGTCTTGGCTTTCCATGCCTGAAATACTCTCATGGGCATTTCAGCCAGATCCACATGCCTTAAGGGCAGATTATGAGGCCAGAGTGCTGTTAGGACATTTGCCATTCTATGGGTCTGCTGTGTATCTCACTTCCCATGTTGGATCGTTCTCTCCCTTTTTTATTCTATCAGCTAGTATTTGCAGACACTATTCTTGTTTATGTGATCCCTTTGTTTCTTAGTCCTATCATTATGATCAACTGTGAACAGAAATTGATCACTGGGACTAGTGAGATGGCATTGGTACATGCCACCTCGATGGGATTGAATTCGAATCCCCTGATATGTTTCTGACTCTACCGTTTGAGGTAAGTCAGCTTGAGCATGTCCACTTTTTCAGCAAAAATTTCTCTCAGTCAGACCCCTAGAAAGAGTCCTTCCTTTGTTCTTTCATATCCCAAAGCAGCTTAAGTTAGTGAAGCTGTACCCTATTCAGCCATCTTGGATTTCCTTTACTGTGATTTTTTTTTAACAATAGGAGGGAAGAAACAACACTGCCCTAGGCAATGGACAGTCATTGGGCAAGAAATTTTCTGATGAAACAAGCCCTCCTTGGCTTTCAAACAGAAACACTGTCATTATCTCAAAATACATGTTTCACTTAGTAAAGTGATTTCTAGTGTTTGTAAGATATTTTGCTTATAGATGAGCCCTTACTTAATTCCTCTTGGAAAATTATCATTAATAATGCAACATAGCCTAAATTTTGATATTTTCTTTAAGAAAGCATAGGGATGTGTATATCTGTTCTTAGATTAGATGTAATTGATTACTCTTTATAAGTTAGTTGACTATATAATCTGGAAAGTCAAAATTATGTAAGACAAAGATAAATTACAGGGGGCAGGTGCTGTGGCGTAGAGGGTAAAGCAGCCGCCTGCAGTGCCGGCATTCCATATGGGTGCTGATTCGGGACCTTACTGGTCCACTTCTGATCCAGCTCTCTGCTATGGCCTGGGAGAGCAGTGGTAGATGGCCCAAGTCCTTGGACCCCTGCACCCACGTGGGAGACCCAAAAGAAGCTTCTGGCTGCTGGCTTCGGATCAGCGTAGCTCCGCCTATTGCAGTCCATCGGTGAGTAAACCAGCAGATGGAGGACCTCTCTCTCTCTCTCTGCCTCTCCTTCTCTCTGTGTAATTTTGACTTTCAAATAAATAAATAAATCTTTTAAGAAATTTAAAAATTAAAAATTACAACAAAAACTGGATGCTTTTCATTATCTATTATTAATTTGAGCAGTCTTTTTTACAAACAAACTTCTGAAAAATCCATGATTAGAAATATAGTAGTTCCTTTGGTTTTAGGGTTTTTTTTTACTGCCTATTAAATTTAATTGGAAAAAATTTAATAATCTTTTATCAAGAAAAAAGTCAAATGATTATCGGTGAGTAATAGGATTTAGATGCTTACTATTTCCTTCAATGTGTTAATCATATATTTCAGTTTTCTTTTTATCTACTTCAGTCCTTCTTAAGTTCTGACAATTTTGGTGGCACTGTAAGTTTAAACAATGAACTTTTGTATATTCTTTGATTTATACATTGTTTCTGGACAAAATTAGATATGTTTTTATTTTATATCTTCTTGTTCAAAATGGTGATAACATTTATTAGTATTTGCCTTTTCCTACTTTACCGGAATTCATTCCATATCAGAACCCAGATATAATAATTGTTGAAGAACATTTTATCACTGTAAGGACAGAGGGAGTCTTTCCTTTTCACTTGCAATGGTTTTATACCAACTTTAATAGTTGTAAAAACATTTTGTGTTTGGGCATAAGAATCTAATTACCACAGTTGGAGTCTTGGTGCAGAAGGACACAGACAAAAGGGAAAATTTACCAAATTAGCCTCAATTTTGCTACTGCTTTAACATTTACTTATTCCCCAAATAAATGACTGAATAGCGAATGAGTAGACAAACAAGTGAACTGAAATAGGAATCTGACTGTGATTTGCCTATCAATGCCTTGTCTGTATGCCAGGACAAAGTACATATGAAAGTGCAATATTTGGAAAGTGTTAAAAAGGAAATTATCTACCCTAAAAAATAGTATTTGAGCTGTTATCTCTTTTGAATCTTTATGAAAGATGACTTGGATTATAACTAGGTCACATCAAGGGACCTCATGAATTGTTCAAATGAATTACCATGTATTGAGAACTGGTGAATTGCTCAAATACAACATTCTTTAATAAGCCAAAAATATCATATAAAATAATTTCTAATATAAATTCCTATTTATGGGATTCTAATAGGATATATCCTCTGATATCAATGATAGCTAAATGGGTTTCCAAAAGCCCTGGCATTTCTTTGGACATTCAATATAGATGTTTTTCAACCCAATAATTTAGCATTGTATTATTTAGGGACTCCCAACCCCTAGAGTCTGAGTACCTACCTTCTTTTGTATTTGTTTTTCCCTATTCCAAGAGTGCTCTTTCTTAGGTGTATTCTTTAAAAAAAAATATTTTATTTAAGGTATACAAATTTCCTGTATTTCCTATATACAGATTCAGGAATAGTGATAGTTTCCACTCTACCCTCCCCCCTTGCCCACACTATTCTTGAACTGCTCCTTCTGCCTTCAGATCATATAATTGTAGAGTCCTTATGACCACCCTTATACTTTCCAGTACTCCTTCACACTCTCTAACCCTTTTATTCTGCTTTATTATTCTCTGCAGCACTTACCATCACCTGATATATATATATGCATTTGTCTATTTATTTTTCTTTTATTGATTTTCTCATAAGAATTTACAGTCCCTGTAGGCATATATATATTATATATATATATATAACTTGCTTATTCCTATTGATTCACACAAAATAAACACTCAATAAGTAATTGCTATATCAACGAATGGAGTCAATGGTTACTTTTTTAAACCATAAAACCAATAAATATATTGAAATTAAAGAAAAAGTCAAAGTTTTCTACTCTTCCAGGAAAAATTTAATATTGTAGTAGTAAGTAAAAAAATTTCAGCAGAATCAGAAATAAAGTTATGCAGAAAAAAACTGATAAATCGAAGCATGCAGTAGAAGCTGTATTCTTCCTACTTAAGAGCTCTGAAACACGCTGCTGGTGGCAAGACTCCCCATGCCAGCCATAATAGCAGTGACATACAAATCCATTCTTCATGTCTGTCTCTGCCTTCAGCTTACTGGTTTCAGAAAGGATGAATCTGAGGCTCTTGTTGACGATGTACTTTTTACGGCTGCTTTCAGGCATATGCAGATAGGAGGAGGATTCAGGTATTTTCCGAACACATCTTCCATGATTATTACATAGATTTTGACTGCAGAACTTGGCAGCAGATGTCACATTAACAGCATAATGACCCAATGGCCCTTGAACAGATTGTTTTACAGATAAGCAGGTCTCCTGTGGGGAAAATAGAGATCTACTTAAAGTGCTCTCAAAATGTGATCTCATTATTCTGGTACTAATGCCAGAAGTTTTGTATTTGATAAGGCTAAGGTAGAAAAGCATTTCAGGGGAATTAATCTTTTAAGTGAGGACTAAGCCTTTATAATGTCATATGAGTGATCAGGTATACCTTTTAATAAGAAGACCTTTTACTTATTTGAAACACACAGAGAACAAAAACAAAAATGAACAAATGGTACTACATCACACTAAAAAGTTTCTGTACAATAATAGAAACAATCAACTAATGAGAAAGGAACATCTGGAATGGCAGAAAATATTTGTGAAGCATATCTTATAAGACATTAATATCCAAAATATCTAAGAAATTCCTACAACTCAACAGCAAAACACACTAATAATCTACTTTTTAAGAATGGCGAACAACTTGAATAAATATTTCACTAAAGAAGACATGCAAATTGTAAAAAAAAAAAAAAAGGTGAAATGATGCTCAACATCAATATTATCAAGGAAATATAAGTGAAAACTTCAGTGAGTTAATCACCTTACACCTTTTAGGAAGACCATTGTCTTCAAAGCACAAAAGGGCAAGTGTTGATGAGCTTGTAGAGAAGATGGAAACTTTGTACCAGGTTGGTGGGACTGAAAATGGTATAGCAGCCATGAAAATCAGTGTAGAAATTCTTTAAAAAATTCAAAATGGGTTTAAAATGGAATTACCATATAACCCAGCATATATACCAATATACTTCTGGGAATATACCCAAAAGAATTAAAATCACATTCTTGAAGAGGTATCTTCACTTCCATGTTTAATACTGTAGCCAAAATATCCATCCATAGAGCAATGAATAAAAATAATGAATATACATTCAATAGAATATTAATTTTAATCTTAAAAAATAAGGAAATTCTGCCACAAATACAGGTGAATCTAAAAGATGTTATGCTGAGTAAAATGAAGGAGGCATAGAAGGACAAACACTGCATGAGTTCACTTACAGATGATGCCTAATACTCAAACTCACAGAGCAGAGAATGAAATAGTAATTGTCAAGGGGTTGGGATGCGGGGAATGAAGTTGTTATTCGATGGGTGTAAAGTTTCACTTATGCCATATAAATAAATTCCAGAAATCTGCTGTACAACTTAGTTAACATTGTACTGTGTGCTTCAAAAAAAGTTAAAAAGGTAGACTTCACATTCAGTGTTCTTTTTTTGTTAAGATTTATTTATTTATTAGCGAGGCAAAGTCACAGATAGAGAGAGGGAAAAACAGAGATCTTCCATCCATTGGTCCACTCTCCAAATGGCCGCAAAGACCAGAGCTGGGCCAATCCAAAGTCAGGACCCAGTAGCTTCTTCTGGATCCCTCATGCAAATGCTGGGGCCCAAGAGTGGGCCATCTTCTGCTGCTTTCCCGGGCCATCAGCAGGGAGCTGGATCAGAGGTGGAGCAGCCAGGACTCAAATCAGCACCCATATGGGATGCCGGCACCACAGGCAGAGGTTTAACCCACTACTCCACAGTAAATCATTAATAAACCTTTATTTACAAATATGTTTTACTCTTGTGTGAATTTCTATTTAATCAGAAAAATAATCATTTGGAGAATTTACCCTTCTTGCTATGAATGAAACAATTACTTATCCATGGGTGAAGCCCACACAGCGCTCCCCTCTCTCCCTAGTCAGGCAGAGTGGACAGTGAGAGAGAGAGACAGAGAGAAAGGTCTTCCTTTGCCGTTGGTTCACCCTCCAATGGCCGCCGCGGCCGGCGCGCTGCGGCCGGCGCACCGCGCTGATCGATGGCAGGAGCCAGGAGCCAGGTGCTTTTCCTGGTCTCCCATGGGGTGCAGGGCCCAAGCACCTGGGCCATCCTCCACTGCACTCCCTGGCCACAGCAGAGGGCTGGCCTGGAAGAGGGGCAACCGGGACAGAATCCGGCGCCCCGACCGGGACTAGAACCCGGTGTGCCGGCGCCGCTAGGCGGAGGATTAGCCTAGTGAGCCGCGGCGCCGGCCAATTACTTATCTTTTAAATTTAATATTATTTTTCCTTTTCACATATTACCTGACAAAACTCTTGCAAAGTAGCTTTGTTTTATTTAGTTTAATTCAGCTTTTTTAGACTGATGAGCTGAGATTCAGAGAGGTTAATTAAGATGCCCCGAAGTACATTCCTAGAATCCAAACTATCAACCTCTTATTTAGGGCTGCCTGATTGGAAGAATTGAGCTCTTCCTACCCCTCTGCTAACCACAGAGGCTGGCACAGAGTAGGTGCTCACACAATGTTAGTCCCTCTGGCCATCAAACTTCATTAAAGTCAAGGTAGCAGATAATATGCAACGATTTGGCTTTGATGTGGAAAAAAATATTTTAAACTCCAAATATCTAAAATATGTTCAAGATACTGACAGAAAAATCATTACTTACCTTTGAAGTAGTGTACTCATCTCCTCCCCACAATATTATTCCTGCTGCTCCTAATGCAGCACTTTCACCAATTGTATGCACTAGGTCTTCCTAGAAAAGAGAAATGTTAGGAATAGTTTCTGATAATTCAATAAGACTTGTGGTGAAGCAGGTAAAACTGCTGCCTGAGATGCCAATATGCCATATGGGCACCCATCTGAGTCCCGGTTGCTCTACTTCTGAACCAGCTTCCTGTTAATGCACCTTGTAAAGCAACAGAAGATGGCCCAAGTACTTGGGCCCCTGCTACCACATAGGAGATAGGGATGGGATTCCAGGCTACTACTGGCTGCAATTTGCGCACCCACCCCCCCCCCGCCCCAGCCTTTACAGCCATTTGAAAAGTGAGTGAATCAGTGGATTCTTTTTTTTTTTTTTCAGTTGTTAAGCTTTATAGTCAATGGGAGAAACACATAGGAGAGTGAGGGGCCATATCTAAGAGAGGGAAATCTGGATTCATACTGAGTACCAGAAGCCAGCCACGTGGAGGAGTATGCAGGCCAGAAAGCATAGGGCAGGTGGCCCGAAGGCCATGCACCCCAAAGGCACCAGGACAGCAAGTGGATCCAGGGCAAAAAGGAAACATGGCAAAAAGGGGGCCAAAAAGGGCTGGGCCCACTGTGTTTCAAGCCTTTAATTCACTTCTAAAGAGGAGTGATTGACTAGCCTGAGTGGCCAGTGGGCACACAGGTGTAGTCAGGTAGGGATATGAGGTCACACGGGCATGGTGAAAGCATGGTCTTCTAGCTCACAAACCTGATCAGTTCTAACCTATATGCCTGCCTACAACATTCCCCCTCAGAGACTCCATTCCCTTAATCAGTATATACTGATTATTAGTATATACTAAGTAGAGATTTCAACAGACGGTGTCTTGATGTGAGAAAGCAAAGGCTTTGTTTATCCTTTTTGTTTTGAAGAGGTACGTAAGGTCTCTGATTGACTTACAGGAATAATCAGGAATGTCTTTTGAGTTTACCTGTGAAGACTTAATAGGTAGAGATTTAACCCTAATTTTACTGAGGTAGTTGTGCTTAGTAGCACCTGGTAAGGTCCCTTCCATTTACGCTGCAACTGATCTGAAGAGGATCTTTCTGTGAATGGTTTGTTTAGGAATTCCTAATGTTGGAGTTTTTGTCAAAACTTCTTAGTTCCTTGGAACACCTTCTGTAGGTCCCCTGTCCAGCACAGTGTGTCTGTGTCAGGGGCTTTTTAAGCAAATACAAGGCTTAGAATCCAAATCCTGGAATCCATATTCTGAAGAATCCTGTCATCAGCAATTTCCAATGTCAGAACTTCTGTTAGAAGCTCCTTAATTCTTTGGAACAACTCTTGTAGCTACACTGTCCAGCACAGTGTCTGTCTCAGGACCTCTTTAAAGCTATATACAAAAGTTTGGGATCCAAATCTTGGAATCCAAATTCCACAGAATCTTGCCATTCCCAGAAATATCCTCAGCTGCCTTTTTAGTCTATGAGGACCATATATAAAATAGCATCCCTTCTTTTTACTGGAAGAACACACTTCTTCTAGAGTTAGAACATATCCCAGGTAATCTACTTCTAGTTTAGAAACCTGAGCTTTGGGAAGTTTTATATCCTCACTTTCCCAGATTCCAGGTTTAGTGGGATGTAAGAGAAATTATCCCTTAGACAAAGGTTTAGCACACCATAAGATGCATTGAAGCAACTGTCTCATCAGAAGTCCTGAGGCTTTTAACCATTCTGTACTTTGTATTTGGCTTTATGTTAAAACATGTGAGGTAGGAATTTCAGAGATACATGTATCCAAGAGTTCATGTTTGAGGCACTTAATAAGCTTTCAAAAAATGCCTAAAAATACAGGCAATGGAGTTTGACACTTAGACATAAATAGAACTTATGATGGGTTGGAATATAACACACTAGAACAAGGTAAATCTTTGGGAACAAACTTCATCATTAATGCTAATACTGTAGCTCTTTGAGGAGGGAGGTCCTGCATGGGAAGTTAGTACACAGTGACTTCTATTGTTAATTTAACAATTAACACCCTTATGTATGACATCAATGATTACCCGAGGCTCTTGATGTGAGCTGTGTAGGCTATGGAAGCCTTTTGAGTTCACAAACTCCATCAGGATTCAGACAAGGCCATAAGCAAAGTGGAAATTCCCTCCTCCTTTTGGAGAAAAGTACATCCTTCTTTGATGACCACTTCTTTTCACTGGGGTTTTACCCAGGGAGGTTCTCCATGTAGGGACACTTTTTGTACGAGTGTCCTGGCTTTCCATGCCTGAAACGCTCTTGTGGGCTTTTCGGATAGACCAGAATGCCTTTAGGGCTGACTCTGAGATTACTGAGTGTTAGTTATAGCAATTGTCACTCTATGAGTCTGCTGTATGGACTCCTTCCCATGTTGGAGCATTTACTCCTCTTTAATTCTATTTACTATTAGCAGTAAACACTTAATTGTGGGGAGCAACTCGGACTAGACTAAGTTACTGGAATTAAGACTTATTCTATGCATCTGCTTTCCCACAATATGGCGCTGAGAAGGGAACCAGCTTCTACACAGCTGCCTCCAGTTCAACCAATAAACTGTAGGACCTGCTCCTGATTGGAGGAGAGCAGCATACTCGGCGTGTGGGTAGCAGAGTTGGGATTGGTGGAAGAGGACTATAAAGGAGGAGAGAGACAACATGCACGAGGAACATCTAAGGGGAACATCTATCTGAAGGAACACCTGAGGAACACCTGTGCAGCCCCCGAGAGAGCCGGCCGGCGGTGTGCCGCTCCCCCGCCGAAGTGGGGAATGTGGCAGGGAGAACCGCCCTTCCACGGAGGTGGAAGGGACGGTAGCCAACCCGGGAAGAACCAGCAGCAAACCCGGGGAGGGCCGAGCAGACGAAAGAACAACGCAGGGTCTTGTGTTGTTCCTCCACGAAGACGGGGAGCGACGTAATGGTGCCGTGACTCGGATGTGAAGCCTAGGCAGGGTTTAGTGTCGTTCCTCCATGAAGAGGGGGAGCGACACTTAATCCTATTGACATGATCACTTTAACAATCAATTCCACCTATATGATCACTTTTAAACTTAAGATGTTACTTTCACCACCCAGCCCAAGGGGATTTGGGATCCCATGGCAAATTTATTAAACTGTACCCTTAGAAGTAAGTCCATAGGAATGCATAGGAATACAGCTTTTACAGTTTCAGATACATTTTCTCCCTCTTTCTCTCTTTTTCTCTCTATTCTCCTTCCTCTCTCGTTCTCTCTCTCTCCTTTTTAAATAAATAAATAAATAAAATCTTTAAAAAATAAAGACTCTACCCATTGACTAAGGTAAAGAACACATTAATAATGTTATCCCTTAATTGAAAATGAATCTTGATGTGAATGGAAGGGGAGAGGGAGCGGGAGAGTGGAGGGTCGCGGGTGGGAGGGAAGTTATGGGGGGGGAGCCATTGTAATCCATAAGCTGTACTTTGGAAATTTATATTCATTAAATAAAAGTTAAAAAAATAATGTTATCCTTGTTTCTAAAACGGAGAACCATAGCAGAATTGGAAACAGTGGATCCTTAATTTATTCTTAAATTATTTGATAATATTTATGATGTCCCAGACAATGTTCTAATTGCTGCAAATAACAGATTCCAGGTCATGTTCTTGAGGGAATGCTTTAGTTTGATGGATGAGACAGACATATAAAGAAGTAATTACAGTATCAGTTTCAATTTTAGTATCACTCACAGGGCATATTTTGATTAAAAGTGCTTAATACTGCATGGAAGAGAGTCTGTGAAAGTTTCCTTGAACAGCTGAAATTGCAGGCGGGGCCCTGAGAATGAAAGGGAATTCACAAGAGAGGCAAGAGGGCAGTTTCGTGCCTATAAGGAAGAATAAAACAGAGGCTCATATGCAGCAAGAATACCAGCCCTCCCGAACACAACCAACAACTCCTGTGGTAAAGTGCACAGAATTTGAGGAGAAGTGAAAGCATATGAATCTTTGCATATAAGTAAATATCTATGGAGTGGCTACTTTGTATAATGCTGTACCCAGATTCTGAGAACCTGGGAAGGGTTAGAAGTTCTCGTAACAGTAAATTTACTGTGTATGGGTACGGGTTGTATTTCATCAAGCTATTAAATGCTCGTCTTTTCTACATTAAAAATATTTTTTAAAAAATTGCTATTTTAAAGTGTTACAACTTGACACAATAAATTTTTAGTACTAGAAAGACACAAATTTTCAACTTTGAAAGATAATTTTACATGCTGTCAGGATGATATAGACAAAGATAACCAATTAGGAGATGATGGAAATTGTTCAGTGAGATATGGTGAGGCCTCAACAAAGGCAATGTCAGTTCTTGTACAGCAGAAGGGATAGTTGAAGAGTTACTTAGAAATCAAAATAGAAAAGTCTTAGAGGAAGAGAAGAGAAGTGCCCAAGCAACTCTCAAATTGGGTAATTAAGTAGACTGTAATTCACCAAGAATCTGAGGAGGTGGGGCCGGCACTGCAGTGCTGGCATCCATATGGGCGCTGGTTCAAGTCCCAGCTGCACTAGGTCCCTGATAATGTGCTTGGAAAAACACTGGAGGATGGCCAGGTGTTTGGGCCCCTGCACCCATGTGGGAGACCTGGAAGAAGCTTCTGGTTCCTGGTTTGAGATCAGCCCAGCTCTGGCCATTGCCGTCACTTAGGAAGTGAACCAGTAGATGGAAGACCTCTCTCTTTCTCTTCCCCTATCCCCGCCTCTGCCTCTGCCTCTCTGTAACTCTGGTTTTCAAATCAATAAATAAGTCTTTAAAAAAAATAGAAAATGCTTCTTTAATGGGAGAGGGAGGAGGAGAAAGGATGGGAGACTGGTGGGAGGGCAGTATGGTGGGACGAATCACTATATTCCTAGAGCTGTACTTACGTAATGCATGAAGTCTGTATTCCTTAAATAAAAGGTTTCTTTGGGAGGAAAAAATAAATTTTAAAAAAAGCCAAAGGGTTGAAATATTACCAAAAACCTTTCTTTTTAACATTGTGGAATTAAGTGTTCTTTGAAGTGTAAAAAGAAAGTGACATTGCTATTGCTTTGTGGCATTTTCTTGAGAACACATATTCTGTTCATAAAGTATCTCAATGATCATATTCTCTGGATATGAGAAATCCTAGGATTAGAGTTGAATCCCACACAAAAAAGTGGGTCATTTTTATTAGACAAGGCAGAGGCAGTAACAACAAAAAAATGCAGCCCAAACTTTTCTTTTTAAAAACCTTTTGCTTAAGGAAGTACATCAACATTTCTATGATTAAAATAATGAAAAAAAAGAAAGAAAATGCTTCTTCAAAAAAAGAAAAAAAGAATCTGAGGAAGTTGTGTTTAAGATTATATACCAGCCGGTGCCGCGGCTCACTAGGCTAATCCTCCGCCTTGCGGCACCTGCACACCAGGTTCTAGTCCCGGTCAGGGCACCGGATTCTGTCCCAGTTGCCCCTCTTTCAGGCCAGCTCTCTTCTGTGGCCAGGGAGTGGCCACGGCGGCCATTGAGGGTGAACCAACGGCAAAGGAAGACCTTTCTCTCTGTCTCTCTCTCTCACTGTCCACTCTGCCCGTTAAAAAAAAAAAAAAAAAAAAAAAAAAAAAGTATATGCATTGTATCTTTTGATTTTCACAACAACCCTGTAAGATAGGGTCCAAAATTATCTTTATTTTAATAGAAGATGCCCCTCTTCCAGGCCAGCTCTCTGCTATGGCCAGGGAGTGCAGTGGAGGATGGCCCAAGTACTTGGGCTCTGCACCCCATGGGAGACCAGGAGAAGTACCTGGCTCCTGCCATCGGATCAGTGCGGTGCACTGGCTGCAGTGCCCTGGAAGCGGCGGCCATTGGAGGGTGAACCAACAGCAAAAAGGAAGACCTTTCTCTCTGTCTCTCTCACTGTCCACTCTGCCTGTCAAAAGAAAGAGAAAGAAAAGAAAAGAAAAGAAAAGAAAAGAAAAGAAAAGAAAAGAAAAGAAAAGAAAAGAAAAGAAAAGAAAAGAAAAGGAAGAAAGGAAAATAAAGGAGATTATATACCAAGAGCAAAGATATGGGAAATAGAGAGAGATGTGTGGTAGATGGGATAACTGTTGGAGCAACCTGCATTCTTGCCTCATCTACAAAGTGTGGAGAGTCCAGTGCAAAGGTATAGCACTCAAAAACTTGAATGAGTAAATGGCCTGGCAACAGCAAAGCTTCCCTGAGGTTCAGCAGGATAGGTTGAGTGTTCCTTGTCTGAAGAGCTTGAAACCTGAGTGCTTCAGATTTGGGATTTTTTAAAATTTTGGAATATTTGTATACATGAAATGAGATGTCTTGAGGATGGAATCCAAGACTCAAAATAAAATCCATTTATGTTTCATGTACACGTTACCTGAAGGTAATTTTGTGCAGTACTTGTAATGCATTTGTATTTTGACTGTGACCCCCATCACATGAGGTCAAGAATGTAATCCTCCACTGGTGGCATCAACCAGGGCTCAAAGTTTCAGATGTTGGAACATTTCCGACTTTTTTTTTTATTTTTCATATTATGGATACCAACATGTATTAGTAATACTTGTGTTTTGCAATTTGTCAATGTGACACAAGAAAGGAAGTTATTCTTCAATTAGACTAATTGGTATCACATTCCTCACACATAAATCAAGTCTTTTGTTTAAATTAAGACATTTCTGAAAGGAAAGACCAGGCAGAGTTGGTAAGGAAATTAAATTGAAAAATTTATGTTACTTAGCAGACAAGAAAAATCCACGCTTTAGGTTGATATGTGAAATATACAAGGCAATAGGAAATCATGAAAACATTTCAATATTATATTCAGATAAATCTATACTTTTTGATGAATAGAGTAAGATTTCTGATGTAGAGTTTCTAAATGATACTCAATCCATAATTTACTTCAACAGTCTAATAGTACAAAAATGGAAAAGACATAAATAAGACATTCATGAAAATATCTCATCTCTCAATTTTATTCAAGATAAACTATCTGAATGTATCAGTAATATACTATTCCTAACACTTTTTATAAACTCAACAAATAATATTTAAGAGTTATTTTATTTATTTAAAAGTCAGAGTGACACAGAGAAAGGGAGAGATAGAGAAAGAAAAAGATCTTCCATCTGCTGGTTTACTCCCCAAATAACCACAATGTCCCGGGCTGGGCCAGGCCAAGCCAGAAGCAGGCCTTGCTCTACTACAATGACAATGCCTCAATAAGTAATTTTTATGACTAAATATAATCTAGTCTTTTTCCTAAAACTACTTCAAAAAATGACATGATTTGAGAGATCTATCACTTGAGAAATACCACATGAGTGATGTCTTAAGACACTTGAAAAACTGGGTTTTGAAAGGATTTGATTTGTTCTATGTCACACCCAGAAGGTAGAACTAGAAGTATGAAATTATCCAGAGGCAAAGAAGATGCAGCATATTCAACGACTTTCTATAAATTAATATTGCCCCTTCTAACATGGGCCCAGATAAGAAATGATTCATGTTTGTGTGGCAGGTGGATTAGATACCTCTGAGATTCCTCCAAATATTTTCCATGATGTTATGATTCGTTACCTCTTCACCTTCTGAATACCTATTTTGAATACTTAGTTATACTGCAGTGAGGAAAATGTCAAATCTAATGAATAATATTTGGGTCAATAGATTTTATCCTGCAATATTTTGGCAATGGCTATTGCATTTAAATATCCTCACTTCAAACATCAGTGGTCTAAGAAAGTGAGTTATGCATCATCTATGCAACAGGCCTTGTTCTTTATTGGATATAACTGAATTGTTAGTTCTCAGGTGTGAATGAAGAGTTCTGGAATTTTTTTACCTAGCTAACCATCCAATGAGTGCATCCTTACAATGCGGTTAAAACTTAAATGCTTCCAGTATCTGCAAATTCATTAACTTCCAAACAAGTTCATCTCCACATCTCTGCATTTCCCAATTTGTGTTCTCTAAAGATTCCATGTTTTTACATAACTTTCAATGTTTTTATAATAACCACTAGATGGTACTGTAGACTCTTAAAGATAAAATCACTTTTTTAAAAAATCAGGAAAACTAAAACATAAAAATGCAATATAATGAAAAATGTGATTGTTTTGTAGCTTTCCCTAAGCTCTATTTTATATGTTTCTGATTGGAAACCCACTGCATGCTTTCATAGAAATTTACTCTGAAATTTCTTCCTGGTTAAAATTAATCTGTTAACATGATTTAACTAAAGTTTAACAATTGTTCTGCAGAAAAACTCTGTGAATTTTAAGCTAGAAAAAAATCGTTGTGCAAAAATTCTCAGTGTACATCTAATCATCAGTGACACAGTTTCAGAATTAGGTTGACATTTGAGGAAATAAATACCTATAATAATAGAATAACTTTCTGCTACTAAGAGAAAATAACTATTTTTCAACATTTCTTTCTAGACATTTACGTATAATTCTATTAATGGTACTTTTTTTTTATGTGAGTGACTGTACTTTTTCTTACCTGTGACAGAGTTTCAATGCTATGTAAATAAAATGGTCTGGAAAAAACAAAAACTGGCAAAACGTAGTCATGTCTAGTCATATTAGCGATTCTCATGGCTTCTCTAACACGATAATGAACAAATTTCAAAGCATTTGCACTTGACTTCAGTATTTTATCCAAATATATTGAAGGATAAAGTGCTGTGCTTTTTTCCCACAGCCACAGGAGTTGGTCATTGCGGAAAATTTCATCATCTGGGCAATTACCTGTGTATATGCCTGAATTTACTTTGTAATCATAATTGTAGCAGTCTGGATAGAGATAAAAGCCCCATAAACGTTTTGGTCTCATTTCTAAAGCCAGGGTGAGAGTAATATTCATAAAACTCCTTCCGGCATTTTCAAATTCCTGTTGGGCGACTTTTTCCACTTTCGCTTCTGACCAGTAAGGATGATGGTTCCTAGCGAAGGCCAGGGAGTGTTCTCTGTATGTTATCCTGTTGCCCCAGTTTCTGTCCCACTGGGGTTTCCAACCTCCCCAGTCAATAACAGCGAGTCCTTCTGCTCTCCACCAAGGGACAACTTCTGTGATGTCGCTGGCAACTTTCTTGAGGTGTGCAGACAGGCTCATGTTCTGCGGGATCCCTCCATTATAGGAGTCTCCGTCTTGAGAGAAATAAGGGTAATTGCCCAATTCATTTGGATGAAATATGGTAATTGTTGATCCACTCTCTGTCTCTGTAGGGTTGGATAAAATGTTAAATACCTGGAGGTTCATATTCACATTAAAGCTATGCCTGCAATACACTGTTGGAGCAGCCCAAAAAATGTTGAAAGGTTGGTTTTTGATCACTGGGTGCATTGCTGGCTTCAGGGCTGGCTGAGTGTCCATGGACAAGAGCAGCAACACTCCCAATCCTGCCACCCACTGGTTGCTCATGACCTGTAGTGTTCAGCATCACAGTCGTTTCCTGGAGTCCTGTAGTTTTGAAGTACACAATGAATAGGTCAGATTTTTTTAAAAACACTATGAGGTTTATTAATATAGTATGCAGGCCTAATTCAAAGTTTCATTTGAACAAGGGATGAAAAATGAAACTTTTTAAAAGATTTATTTATTTGAAAGGTACAGTTACAGACGGGGGGAAACACAGAGATCTTTCATCCACTCCCAAGATGATTGCAATGGGAGCCAGCAGCCAGGTCTCCCATGTGGGTTGTAGGGGCACAAGCACTTGGGCCATCCTCTACTCCCCTCCCAGGCGCACCAGCAGGAAAACAGATCTGAAGTTGAGCAGCCAGGACTCCAACCAGAGCTCATAAGTGATGCCAGCATCACAGGCAGTGATTTAACCCACAACACCAGCCCCAGGAAACTTTTTTTAATAATTTGAAATGTGGGGGCCAGTGTTGTGGCACAGTGTGTTAAGCCACCACCTGTGATACCAGCATACCCTATGTGAATGCAGGTTCCAGTCACAGCTGCTCCACACCTCCCCTCCAGCTCCCTGTTGACATGCCTGGGAAAGCTTAGGAAGATGTCCTAGGTGCTTGGGACCCTGCACCCACATGTGAGACCTTGATGAATTCCTGGCTTTTGGCTTCTGCCTGGCCCAGCCTAGTTGTTGTGTGGCCATTTGGAGTGTAAACCCGTGGATGGAAAATCACTCTTTTTCTCTCTCTCCCTCTCTCTCTCTCTCTCTCTCTCTCTCTGGCTTCTTCTCTCTGTCACTGTGCCTTTCAAAATAAATACATAATTTTTTTAACAAATGAATAAATACAATGCTTCATTTAAATCCTCACCTATGCAAACTGAATCTGCAAGCTGTTCTGAATTCAGTTTCCTGTATACTAACCCAGACAATCCTGTACTGACAAGCCCTTTACCGTATGAGGAACTAGAAAAAAAAAAAAAAAAAAACTTTAGTGGATTACCATATCTTTTTATTGTTTACTGGAAAGGTGACTTCAAGAATATCCTTAGTTGAAAATTAATGAATATTGGTATTTTAGCAAATGTGAAATAAAGCAAAAAGAAATAAACTTTACTAACTTGAAATATCTTACACACAATTTGAAATGCACTGACCTCAAGGTTTATCCTTCATTTTTAAAAGACAGAAAAAAAATCAAAAAAGAAATGCCTGTGTATATCAGTTTTGCTGAAAATAAAGTTTTGTCAAACTTTGTTTTGTATCTTTTTCAAACCAATGATTAAGAAGGAGATGCCAAGTCGGCGCCGTGGCTCAATAGGCTAATCCTCCACCTTGCGGCGCCGGCACACCGGGTTCTAGTCCCGGTTGGGGCGCCGGATTCTGTTCCCGGTTGCCCTTCTTCCAGGCCAGCTCTCTGCTATGGCCAGGGAGTGCAGTGGAGGATGGCCCAGGTGCTTGGGCCCTGCACCCCATGGGAGACCAGGAAAAGCACCTGGATCCTGGCTCCTGCCATCGGATCAGCGCGGTGCGCCGGCTGCAGCGGCGGCCATTGGAGGGTGATCCAACGGCAAAGGAAGACCTTTCTCTCTGTCTCTCTCTCTCACTGTCCACTCTGCCTGTCAAAAAAAAAAAAAAAAAAAAAAAAAAAAAAAAAAAAAAAAGGAGATGCCACTATAGTTGTAATGACCTGTGATCATTTTAAAATTTACTGAATATGAGTAAATGGTCATCTTCTTTTTTCTAACATTTATTATATGAAAGAGCACAGAGGGAGACAGAAAGGCACACACAGAGAGAGAGAAAGAATAGAGAGAGATCTTCCATCTTCTATCCATTCACTTCCCCAAATGACCACAACACCAGGGCTAGGTCAAGGTGAAGCCAGGAGCCAGGAGCTTCATTGAGATCTTCCACGTGGGTGCAGGGATACAAGTGCTTGGGTCATCTTCTGCTAATTTCCCAAGAGCATTAGCAGATAGCTGAATCAGAAGTAGAGCAGCCAAGACTTAAATCGCTACCTATATGGGATACCATTGTAGCAAGCAGCTTGATTCACTAAGCCACAATGCTGGCCCCTTATTTGATTGTTATTTATAATCCTTGCATATATTCCCACTGAACTGTACTCTTTTTACTTTTGACTTCTTGAACTCTTTAGTTAGTGGATCATTAGGTTTTTCACTGTGATATAAATTCAAAATGTGCTATCTCAAAAACAAGGAAGGAAAGGAGGAAGGAAGGAGAAGAGAAAGAGAAAAGGGGACGGGAATGAGGGGGGAATGAATATCATTATATTCTTAGAATTGTATCTGTGAAAAATAAATAAAATAAATAACAGAGAAATTACCATTAGAAGTAAAATAGGCTGAAATAGAAAACAGGAAGAGATGTCAATTACCTGTGAGTTAATTGTGGATTTTTGGTGCTATTGCCTCTCAGACATGTAAATAAGCTGAAAACCCAATTTGTTCTTTTACTCCAAAATTTTCCCATGAAGAAATTAGATTGTATTTCAGCAGTTAAAGTCCAAGTGAAGCTTGGCTCTTTTGTACCTTCTAACTAGTCAGTTGGGACAAAAACTGCCAAAGAATCTTCCCAGAATATAAGAACCGTCTAACAGTTGGTATGTTCCAACCAGTAAGATCTCACTTTGAAAAAAATATGGTTGAACTTATGTATCAAAATTAGTTTATTGTGTACTTTCTGTACAAAAGTAGTAATCATATTTTTCTCTGATGTAATTCAACTCAGTCTTTTAAAATAGGTGTATATTATCTATGCAGTTCCCATTGTCTTAATGTAATGAACACAGGAAAAGACACCAACTAAAATCACATATTAACTCTCACATTGTCACAGCCCATGTTTGTACTTGAGCAAATCCTAGGCTTTCTGCACTACACAGTGAAATTTTTAGTCAGCCAATGTGAATGCTAATTACTCCTGGAAGTGAATTGACTCTGTGTGGAATTTGTATTGTGGCACCAGATGAGTCTCATGTCACCAGAGATGGCGCCACACCCTTCATCCTTCTCCAACTAGGAAGTCTTATTGCCATTCCCCCGGAAAAATAAAAGAAGTAAAGATCCTCTTCATCTTGCCTGCTGTTAGGAGAAATGCAAGAGTTTCCATTCCCCATAAATATTATTCTTTATCTCCTTCATACCATGATGGTACATGCTGGCTCTACAGTTGGCCCTTTGTATCCATGGGTTCCATGTTTACGGATTCAACCTAGTACAGATAGAAAATATTTGAGAAAAAAATTGGGTCTGTAACTGAACATATAATATTTTTCTTGTCATTATTCCCTAAACAATGCAGTAAAGCACCTATTTATATAGTATTTACATTTTATAAGGTACTATACATAATCTAGAAATGATAATAATGACACAGGAGTATTGCATAGGCTATATATAAATACTACATCACTTTGGATAAAATATCCATTGATTCTGATATTTGTAGGGGTCTATAGCCCATTCCCTGCAGACACCAAAGAATGACTGTGAATGCCTAATAAATTGTGACTTCCTCAGGAAAAAACATTCTTTTTTTGAATATCATATCATGTGACACTTTCCAGGGGCAAAATGATACAAAATATTGTACTTAGTAAAATTCAATTATGTATCCTTTTCTAGAAGATTTTGATCATATTTTATGTGAGTATAAATGTTACCAGCTCATTAAAATTTTATTTTGGGCTTTATCTTAATCCCCAGAATGGATTTTATTTTATTTTTTAACATTTATTTATTTGATAGGTAGACTGACATAGAGAGGGGGAGAGAGAGAGAGAGAGAGATCCATCTGCCATTTGCTGGTTCATTCCCAAAATAGCTGCAAGGGCCTGGGTTGGGCCAGGCATAATCCAGAAGCCCAAAACTCCATCTACTCTCTCTCGCATGTGGCTGTCAGAGGCTCAAGTAGTTGGGCCATCTTGCATCAACAGGGAGCTAGAATGGAAGGGAAGCGGCTAAGACTCAAACTGGGACTCTCATATAGGAGGTTGGTATTATATGTAGTGGCTTAACCTGCTGGCCACAACACCACCCTCTAGAGAATGCATTTTATAATAAATTCTGCTATGGTACAAAAGTATGCATTATGAGTGGTATGAATTTTTAAATATAATTATTTCTACATAATGTCCTCTGATATTCATTTTTCTAATCATTTTAATTATCCAAGATATCAGACTAGCTCTACATTTTCCTACTCATAACATATATAAACTCATACACTAACATACACAAATACATACATACTCTTGAATTTTTATTCAACAAATCTTTCTGAGTATTTAATATGTTTCAGTGAACCAGGTCAAGGGATATATTGATGAAGCCAATATAATTATACACATTGCAAAAGTTATAGACATTTAAATGTAAAATACAAAAACAATATAAAACTCCTAAAAGATAACATAAGAGAAAATCCAGAATGCCTTGGGCATGGAAATGATTCTTTAGATACAACACCAAGGGAACAACCTATAAAAGAAATAGTTGTTAAGCTGGCCTTCATTAAATTAAAAGTTCCTACTCTGTGAAAGAGACTCTCAAGAGTACGAAGACAAGCCACAGACTGGGAGAAAGTATTTGCAGAAGAAATACCTAATAAAAGGCTGTGACTAGGGGCCGGCCAGTGGCGCAGTAGGTTAATCCTCCACCTGTGGCACCAGCATCCCACAAGGGCACCAGGTTCTAGTCCAGCCTACTCCTCTTCCAATCCAGCTCTCTGCTGTGGCCTGGGAAAGCAGTAGAGGATGGCCCAAGTGCTTGGGCCCCTGCACCTGCATGGGAGACTGGGAAGAAGCACCTGGCTCCTGACTTCAGGTCGGCGCAGCTCTGATTGTTGCGCCATCTGGGAAGTGAACCAACAGAAGGAAGACCTTTCTCTATGTCTCTCCCTCTCACTGTCTGTAACTCTACCTCTCAAATAAATAAACAAAATTTAAAAAAAAAAAAAGGCTGTGACTAAAATAAACAAGGAACACTTAATACATGACAATAGGAAAATAAACAACCAGATTAAATAGTAGACAAAAGACTTACACAGATATTTTTCCAAAGAAGATATATAGATTGCAAATAAGTGTATGAAAAAATGGTCAACATCATGTGTCATTTGGGAACTGGAAATTAAAATAGCAGTAAGATATCACTACATCTTATTTGAGTGAACACAGTCCAGAACAATTCCAACTTCAAGTGCTGATGAGCACATACAACAACAGGAACTCTCTCTCTCTTTCATTCATTGCTGATGGGAATGCCAAATTGTACTGCCAATTTGCAAGACAGTATGACAAATTCTTACCAAGATAAACATACTCTTATTGTATGATTCAATAATTGTGCGCTTTTTCATCTACCCAAATGACTTGAAAATGTATAACTGCACAAAAAAATCTACACATAAACGTTTACAGCAACTTGATTCATAATTGCCAAAATTTTGAAGCAACCAAGATGTCTTTCAATAAGGGAATGATTAGGTAAAGTGTGGTATATCCAGGAAATGGAATAGTATTTAGAGTTAAAAGTAAATGATCTGGGGAAGGCCTTTGGCACAGCATTTAAGATGCGTCTTGTAATTCCCACATCTCATATCATAGTGCTTGGGTTTGAGTCTTGGCTCTTCTTCCAATTCTAGCTTCCTCCTAATATATAACAGGTGAGGTCTGAAGTACTTGGGTACCTGCCACCTACATGGGAGACTCAGATTGAGTTGCAGGCTCATGGCTTCCACCTGGTCCAGGTAGACATTTGCAGGATGAACTAAGAGATGGAATATTTCTCTCTCTCTCTCTCTCTCTCTCTCTCTCTCTCTCTCATATTTTTAAGAGAATGAAGTTTTTTTAAAACAAATGAGCCATGAAAAGATATGGAGAAAAATTTATATTACTGGGTGAGATTCCAGCCGTATAACATTCTGGAAAAGGCAGAAATACAGAGATAGTAAAAGGATCAATGGTGTCCAAGGGTTAGAGGAAGGGAAGGATGAACAGGTGGAATACAGAGGATTTGAGAGACAGTGAAACTATTATGTATCAAACTATATATTATGTATAATATTCCTGTGGAATTGAGAAGTCACTCTTTCCTAGCAAAAACCAGAGGGAATGCTAAACAGGCACAGTGTGAGACTGCCTCCCTTTCAAAAGTCTTCACATGAGGCCCACGCTGTGACATAGTAGGCTAAGCCTCCATACAGGCACCAGTTCGTGTCCTGGCTGTCCCTATTCTGATCCAGCTCTCAGCTATGGCCTGGGAAAGCAGTAAAGAATGTCTCAAGTGCTTGGGCCCCTGCACTTCTATGGGAAACGCAGAAGCTGCTCCTGGGTCCTGGCATCAGATCCGACCAACTCCAGCTATTGTGGCCATCTGGGGAGTGAACCAGTGGATGGAGGACTTTTCTCTGTCTCTCCCTCTCTTTCTGTCTGTAACTGCCTTTTAAGTAAATAAATTAAATCTTTTTAAAAAATCCTTCACACTCTGGATAAAAGAGAGCTATAACATAGAAAAAGACACTTATTTACTATTCCTGATAAATATAGCCAGCTATCCAGCTACATGAAGGTGGATAAGAGGCTCCATGATAAGTTGACAGTCACATAAGAAAGGGCTAAGAAAAATCCTTGAGCAAACTACCACAGTAGGTCACAGAGTAAAAGCAGTGGGCCCTAGAGCAGAAGAGATGCAAAGTTGTTGATTAAATGAAAATCTTCTTTCTCCCTTCCTTTAGAACTCTTCCTGGTAAAAACCAGAACAGGCAACTGGGACTAGAGGTGGGACTTCCACATGAGAGCACTTCCCAGAGCACTGGAGTTTGCAATATTGTTGCACACATGAATCGTTTATGCTCAATGATGGGCAAACTAAGGAAGCATTCACGTGTAAACACGTTCTCCACACATTTCTTTTCAAAAACAATGGCACTTCTATGAGTATACGCCACTTACTACTGTGTTTATTCACATCAGGAAGGTGATGATTTTAAGGATAATTAGCTTAGTTTTAGGTAGGGAAAGTTACAATTTCCTAGCATGTTCATAGCACAGTGGGAGTAAATTGTGAACTCCGGTATAAGCATAAGAAATTATTTAATTGCCTACATATTTTATAGAGTACAATCAGTTCCATGAGTTTGAAATAATGAGAATGCCACATGGATTCAAAACATGAAGATATCAAATATGGTTTAGAAGATCTGGATAAGCTTCAAGCTGAAGGTACTTTTGAAGGCTTGAAAAATAAGCAGGATTTTAATGGGATAAAATCACAAAGGGACTCCAGATGGAGTGGAGTTGGGAGGGAAGAGGCAGAAGAAAGAGACAAAGGATATGCACAAAAAGTAACAGACAGTGATTTTTGAGATTTGGATGCTTTTGGAAGGCGATGCATAATGGGCAGTTGGGAATTTTTATAGGAGTATGCAGTTGGTCATCTGTGCTGAAGTGAAGAGGAAAATTATCTACAGAGAAAAGAAGAAACATGAAAATAGAATTATGGGCTCAAATGACAAGCTATGGAAGAGGAGAACCGTGAAAAGGCAAAGTTGCTGAGGTGATTAAAGGCTGGGTGAAGATCTTATCTATCAGTTTCAAAACCATGAAGGGGATAGTGGGTAACTCACTTAGGGAAGACAGCATCCTGCCTGGAACTCATGTGCAGCGACTGTGGTCTCTGAGCCTCTCCCCAGAGGTCCTTTAGCCAGCATTCAGAGGATCCCTCCTGAAGAAGGGATGCCTGCACAGTGCCAGCCTCTCAACGTTATGGCCCTCACATTTACTCCTGGAGCGTTGGAGGAACAGATGGCACTGGACAGAGTCGAACTAAACGAGCAGGTGTATGGCGCATGCTCGCTCCATCTCTCTTTGTGCCTTTCAAATAAATAAACAAATCTTAAGCAAAAAAATCAGGATTTAATTCCGAAGAGAAATCTATATTGTGCTCAAATATAACAAAAAGTTGTCTTTGAAAACAATCTTCAAGCTGCAGTTTTTTGTAGGGAAGCCCTTGAACAACAACAAAAAAATTCTCATTCTGCGCTCTATAATTTTGGTTATATTTTTACATTTATATTAATTATAAACATAGCTCAAAGATATACAAAATAAAGAAGATGGAACTTGATTTATCTTCTAATGGAAGCACTTGTTAATGCATAACGAATTATCTTTACAGATTAAAAATTAAGCAGAAGATTGCCAGGAACAAAAAAGAATCCTTTGATATGTAAAAAGAGAAGAAAGCTCTCCTTTAAAAAGAACATTCTATCTGAAGACTATCAAAAGATTTACAGTAAGGGGAGCTGTGCTGAGGAGAGGGATATGTTTAAATTTCCAAAAGTCCATATGGACATGTAAAATTAGAATCATGAAGCAAAACATTCTCTTTTTATATAACATCAGAAACTTTCACAACAAGTATCCGGGGAAATCTTTTTCGGATGTATCAAGCATTATGCTGGTTGTTTCAGCAATAGTCATACTTGGAGGTTACATGCTCAGTTTTTTTATCCCACTCATCAGTCAGCAAAATCACTCCTCTTATTCTGTGCAGGAATAAGAAAGGAAGAAATAACATAGGGAAATATTTCCTCCACCCTATTCTGGAAATCCTCCCCACTTCCGGAACACAAAAACTAAGGGGGAAAAAATCTGCTCCTCTCACACCTGTCTCCAGGGTGACCAGATGTTCTGATTTACTGGAGCAATCATATTTTACACTGACTGTGATCATTATTACCATTGAAGCTTCTAATCCTCAAAACTGTTCCAAGATAGACAATGAATTATATGGGTACCTATAGTAATTTCCCTGTGTGAATCCAGAAGATGCATAATACTGACAGTAGAAGATTTATAATACTTTCTACTTAGCCTGCAAAATGGAAGAATAGGAAACTAAAAAATAAAATCAAGCATGAAATAAAATTATTGATTTTGATTTATCAAATAGATATATTAATTTATTAAGTTGATTCTTTAATACATGTATGAATGTTTAAAATACTTAAAATAAGAATTTTAAATTTTTATTGTTTGTAATATTTGAATTACCTTATTGTTCTCCCTCCTTATTCTTTTTATTGCATTTGTATATCTATTTATTTACTTTTATTTGAAAGGCAGAGCAACAGAGAGACATGCAGGCAGACATACAGACAGATAAAAAGAGACCTTCCATCCGTTTTTTGCTCCAAAATTGCCCACAAGATCTAGGGCTGGGCAAAGTCAAAGCCAGGAGCCTAAAACTCACTCAAGTCTCTCACGTGGATAGCAGAGGTCCAAACACTTGAGCCATCACCTCCTGCCTCCCTGGGTGCACATTACCAGGAAGCTGGAATCTGAACTAGAGCCAGTACTTAAACCCAGACATTCTGGTATGAGATTAGCACATCCCATGCAGCTTCTTAACTAGACAAAACACCTATTCCTGGTATTTTTAAATTTAATTGAAGAATTGTTAGCCATCATTAATAAATCAATGTGTACTTTTCTTTTTTTAAATATCTATTTAGTTATTTGAAAGGCAGAGTTATAGTGTGTCAGAGAGAGGTCTTCCATCCGTGCAATAGCGGGAGCTGCACAGATGGGAAGCCAGAAGCCAGGAGCTTCTTCTGGGTCTCCCATATGGGTGCAGGGGCCCAAGGACTTGGGCCATCTTCTACTGCTTTCCCAGGCCATAGCAGAGAGCTGGAATGAAAGTAGAGCAGCTGGGTCTCAAATGGGCACCCATATGGGATGCCAGCACTGCAGGTGGCAATTTTACCATCTATGTCATAGCACCGGCCCCACCAGTGTTTACCCTTTTACCATTTCTATTCACAAGAGGAAAGCCTTAAGATAATCTTCAGTCCAAGTTAATGAGTACACTGAAATATTCCACTTATTTCTGGGTAAATATTAAGGTCCACAGAAAATACACCACAATTTTTTTTCCTGGATTAATAAGTTCTAATGCCATTTAAACATTTTTAGTAGATTTTATAACATTTCTTTGCTTGAAATGAATGAGAAACAAATAACATGGAAAATGCCTAAATGGATCCTAGGCTCATTAGTCATGGAGGAATAAGGAAGGGGGTGCTGGGTCCAGGAAGACCAGTGAAGCCTGCACTTCAGGGAATGTATAGTGTAGAGGACAAGGCTGTATAATGCATTACATTTCAAACTAACATTGAGATTTAAAATGGGCATTGCACTGGAAGCAATAGTTAAAAATGCAAGCAAAGGAGTGATTGCAGCTTAATTAAATCACAGCAGATGATATACTTATTTGATTTAAGTACCCAGAGAAAAGAAATTCCTATTTTTACTTTATAATGAATTCATGTTCCAAAAAATGTACTCAGAAAAAAAATCACATTGGAATTGAAGTCAAAGAGAGACCCAGCTTAAAATGCAAGACAATTCTTTGTAGAAAATACATTTGATTAAAGAAGAGAAAACATGAGGCAGAAATTAATATAAATGGAAATTTAAGAAAAAAGTCAACAAAAGGTTTGATTATTGCCTTTCAAAGAGTTATAACTTTTAAAAGATCTTTAAAAATAAACCTGCTGACAGAGTAGAAAACTGAAAACATTGACTGAACAGGAGTTATGAAAACAATTTTTTCTGTATTGCCTTTAACAAGAAAATTAAAGGGAAATGCACAATTAAGAAACAATTTACATAGGCTGTGAGGGGGAACAAAGAAAGGAAGACAACTGAGGGTGAATCTTTCAAGGGAAATGGCACTTGAACAATACTGAGTCTATTGACAGGGAGTTAAGTCTGGTAAACATGGATGTCCTCCTTTGCATTACTGCATTGCTTCCCATAAGACTCCCTGCTATACCCCTCCCTGCTCCAATCGAACTGCAACCACAGTGTCCTCTTACCAGCTTCAGTCATAGCATGCTACTCCTCTCCTCAAAGCTCTTAGATGGCTCCCCCTTTCCTTCAAGACCCTCAGGATCCCCTCCCAGCCCACTTTTGACTGCCTATCCTATCCCTCCTCCCTGGATCACTGTCTAGTCATGCCATCACCCTTCAAGTTCCTGCAACAGACCAGCCTGTGCCTCCCTCCAGCTCAGCATTTCTCAAACGGCAGCCAAGACCCTTTCAAGGAATCTATAAGGTCAACACAAAACAAACAATGAAAAAACTTCTTTGGAGTTCTCCATAAATTTTAAGAGTGAGACCAAAACTTCGAGAACTGATGTTAATCTAGTTAATCCACTCCAGCTCTTCTTTTCTACATCTTATAGGCTTTCATGTGTAAGAAGAGAGGGGGTGCTGGGGAGCCAATGCAATCTCCTAGTAGCAGGAAATAGCCAGAGGTCTTGAGTATAATGTCCTTTGCCTCTTCAAAGCTTTCAGTGCAACATTCTTTATCCACCTGGATACTGTTACTTACCCTCTCCGTATTTAAGGCTAAAGTTTAAGGCTGGCGTACTGGTGACTCATTTTTTCTAGCCTGAGCCACCGCTTGGCTGCCCAGGCTGAATGTCATCCTCTGCTGGCTCTACCAACTGCTCTGGATCTGCCGGTGTGTTCTGTCTGTCCTACGTGTCTTCTGAAATACTTGCCACTGGGCCTCTTGTTCTGCTATGGTGACTCTCCCTGGAGGTTTGCCAGCTTGCTACTCCACAATTTCAGGTCAGTCTACACCACACAGGGTCAAAGACAGCCCAGGAAAGCTACATCTCTGGGCTTTCCTCCACCCGGCCATAGTTCATTTGCGGGACTGTGCTCCAGATTGGAATCTGGCAGCCAGCATGCTTGCCTCCTTTCAGAGGCTCAAAAACTGAGAGGGAGAATGGAAGGGCACCTCTGCACTCTGCATATTATCTCGGTTAATTAAAGGTTGTCAGTACTTAGCTAGAGCCAAAACCCAGAGAGGAAAAATGCAGAAAGACATCTGTTTCCCTACCTCTGACTCTGATACTCTCCATCTCCTCCCAAAATTCCTGGGTTTTACCCCAAGGAGGGCCTGACACTGTAAGAAGAGAGGATACTGTGTAACTGTTCCTCTGAGTTCTCCAAACTTAAGGAGCTATTGTCCTGCTGCACAATCCAAATTTGTATATCAGCAGTAGAATCTTATTTGTATATCTCATGCAAAAAATTTTAAATTCATCCTAACAAGTGGAAACCTCCTAAAAACTAAGGTAAATATAGGAGGTAAGAAGGAGGAAAAAAGAAAATTATATTATTTATTGTCAAAAATATCACTTAAAATATATTTATTAACTGACTTAATTAATCCTCACATCAAACTTGTCAAACAGGTGCTATTGTGACTATGATTTCAGAAATGAGGAAACTGATGCATATGAAGGTATGTAACCTTGTTTATAAAATGACACCACTAGGACTCCCACCAGCCCTGTCCATAAAGCTTATGCTAATATGCCTTTTCTAGAAGTTTTTGTAATTAATTCTTATAAAAAGAGGAAAGTAAACATTAAGGCTTCAAACACAATATGTGACAGCTTGGGAGCTGGTGGGGTGCCATTGGAAAGCCGATGGCCAAGTGGGGTGAGGGCAACGCACACTGGATCACGGGGGAGCAGACAGACGCCACCAACATCAACAACTGGCACTGGACAGAGAGGGATGCTTCAGATTGCTCCACTGATAAGCCAAAAACACTGTTCCCGGCAGTGCACCTGCAGAATGAAGAGGGCAAGTGTGGGGTGACTGAAGTGAGTAAGCTTGATAGAGAGGCATCCATTAACAATCGCAAAGGCAAAGTTACCTTCTTTTATGAATGGAGCATCAAACTCAACTGGCCAGGAACCTCGAAATCAGGAGTACAATACGAGGGACGTGTACAGATCCCCAATTTGTCTGATGAAAACAGTGTGGATGAAGTGGAGACTGGTGTGAGCCTTTCCAAAGATGAGCCTGGGCTGGCGCCATGGCTCACTAGGCTAATCCTGCACCTGCGGCACCAGCACACCGGGTTCTAGTCCCAGTTGGGGTGCCGGATTCTGTCCCGGTTGGCCCTCTTCCAGGCCAGCTCTCTGCTGTGGCCCTGGAGTGCAGTGGAGGATGGCCCAAGTCCTTGCCTTGCACTCGCATGGGAGACCAGGAGAAGCACCTGGCTCCTGGCTTTGGATCGGCGCAGTGTGCCAGCTGCAGCAGCCATTGGGGGGTGAACCAACAGAAAAGGAAGACCTTTCTTTCTCTCTCTCTCTCTCTAGCTCTTTCTCTCTCTCTCTCTCTCACTGTCCACTCTGCCTGTCAAAAATGAGCCTGACACAAATCTTGTGGCCTTAATGAAGGCAGAAGGGGCGGAACTTCTAAAAGAAGCACTGGGAGTTTACATCAGCATTCTCATAGCAGAGTTCACCCGGGGCATGATCTTGCCTACAATGAATAGAGTCAATAGACCCAAAGCGAGAGCCAGCACGGAAACCTGTGGAACTCAAGGCTAAGTCCACTCCTCAAAAAGCCAGGCCAGTCCTATTGGTGTCAAAATCCCCACTTGGAAGATCACTCTTAGAGAAATATTCCTGGTGCCACCGGAGGAGCTCTACAGAGGGCTTACCACCCAAGCATTGGTATAAGCCTTCACCCGTGCTCCTGCAATGTTAGAAGCAGACGAAGGAGGGAAGTTTCACATGGTAAATGGCAATGTCTCTGGGGAAATTTCCTATATGGCCCCTGAGAAACAAAGGTTTAAATCTTGACCAGAAACCTTGACCAGAGGAGCACTTTGCCACCATGACCTTGACTTTCATTGACAAGAAAGGAGAGCTGTGCATGGAAGGCACAGGCATCCCTGCTCCTGAGGAAGAGTGGCCACAGTAGGGCTGGCAGTGGCACTACTCTTAGGACATCAAACAGATCTTTGGCTCTGGAGTATACTTATTGTAGCTCCAGCCTGCCCTACACTTCAGCCATCTCCTGAGGGGGGCTTGTGACTGGCAGGATTACACCCCCAATCCCCTCCACATACACCTTGGATTTGTCCTTGTTTTCTGTGGGGTGGGCTTAGAGGGTGATTTCTCTTTTGTGTACATATGCTGAACAAACATAATTTTAAAAACATGCATGTCTAAGGAAAAAAAATTCCAGTGGCAAATCATCTGAGACAGATTGAAGCCATGTATTTCTTAGGAGTGTATAAGTGGCACAGTCTGCAGAGAGAAACCTGGCATTATTCTGGGTGTGTGCTCAAGGGTTACAATCAACCCTAAGATCTCAGTAGCTTAAAATCTGTAAAAGTTAACCTTTTGTTCACCTCACATCTCCCCCCTCTGAGTTGTGAGAACTTTCTCTCTCATACAGTCATCCAGAGACCCAAGCCAGTGGAGCTGCCACCACTTTGTAAAGCTGCACCATCATAAGCTTGCAGCTTCCTTGAAGATTTTGTTAGGCGAAAAGAGAAGCATAAGAAATTTGCGGCCGGCACTGTGGCTCAATAGGCTAACCCTCCACCTGAGGCACTGGCACAATGGGTTCTAGTCCCGGTCGGGGTGCCGGAATCTGTCCCGGTTGGCCCTCTTCCAGGCCAGCTCTGCTGTGGCCAGGGAGTACAGTGGAGGATGGCCCAAGTGCTTGGGCCCTGCACCCCATGGGAGACCAGGATAAGTACCTGGCTCCTGCCATCGGATCAGCGCGGTGCGCGGGCCGCGGCAGCCATTGGAGGGTGAACCAACGGCAAGAGAAGACCTTTCTCTGTCTCTCTCTCTCTCTCACTGTCCACTCTGCCTGTCAAAAAAGAAAAGAAATTTTCACAGGCTTTTCATTACCCCAGCATAGAAATGACACACTTAGCAGTTGCTAATATTTCACTATGAGGACTCGCCCTAAGGATTTATCTGATTGCAAGGGGCCCGGAAATGTAGGGGAGTAAAAGAATGTTCAGTCTGTCTCTGTTGCAGCCCCATGTACATGACTCACTCATTTGGCCACCTGCTCCCTCCTAATTTTAGCTCTTTATTTTCCAAGTTGCTTTTAGGTACAGGATGAATATTATCCTCTTTTAGAGATAGCTTTATTTCTTAAAGCTAGATTAGAACAACATTGTAAGTGTTTTTTTTTTTTTTTGAAGTTTTATTGTTTTGGAAAGCAGAATGACAGAGAAAGAGGAAGTGTCAGAGAGAGAGTGCTCCCATCTGCTGATTCACTTGCCAAATACCCCCAATAATTCAGTATAGGCCAGCCTAAAGACAGGAGCCTGGAATTCCATCCTGGCCTCCCACATGGTGGCAGGGACCCAAGTATTTGGGCCATCATCTGCAGCCTCCCAGGCACATTAGCAGGAAGCCAGATTGAAAACAGGTAGAACTCAATCCAAGGCACCTGATATGAGATGCGGACTCACAAGCAACAGCTTAATGGACTGAACCACAATATCTGCCCCCATTACAAGATCTTTATAAATCTTCACTCAAGACTAAGTTACAGATCATGGTAATGTTTTTAAGGAAATACTTGTTAAGAATAAGGCATCAAGCAGAGGAAGGGTGGAGGCGCCAGTGATTGCAGATTCCACAGCTGCCTATAATCACTTTGCTTCTTCTTTAAATACACGAGTGACTTAAGCATCTACATGTGTAGCTGCTAACTCTAATTACAATGGACAGGTTTCTAATTCCAAAATTCCTGTTGTTTCCGAGCTGTAGTCTCGAATAGCAAAAGCTTGAAAATCTGAACATTAATACAGAGTACTTAAAACATTGTATAAATGTCCCTGAAGACGCTGATGTTTTTAGGAAATGAAAGGACATAGTGCCATCTGGTGGGTGGTCATGAAAGGAGAATTTGGGAAATCGCTTACTGAGGAATGTGTAAACGTGGGAGCTTTAAAATATTTCTGCCATGGTGGTAATTAAGTTTCCAAATAAAAGCTTTGCGTGCTTTGAAACTGAGATCTGAGAACCGAAAACCTCTTCTCAGAATACAGATAAATAGAAGATTATGACTTTTCAAATTACCATTTCTCATTGGTAGCTACCCATATGAAACCCAGGTAAATTAAAGCAGGTTCTGATAATGATGATATCACAAAAGAGGCAAATGCTCAGTTTTAGAAAGTTTGTGAGCCATAGGCCAGGATCTTTACTGCCGGCCTCAAGTCCTCTGGACACTTACGGCTAACTGGCCACCAGGGGGCTCTTCTTCACACTTACTTGTTGAAAAATTTATGGCTATCTTAATTATTTGTTGAAAAATTAATGGCTGGATTTTTTTTTTTTGACAAAGGCATGAAAAATAAAAGATTTTGAATTTTTAGCTTTCAAGTATTTGTGCCCCATGTAACTAGATGGCACTTTTCTCACAAATTTAATATTATGTCCTTGGGAAATTAAGTTTGGAACTTTAGTCGTTTTTGAAAGGTGAACAGCAGTTTTGTAATGGGCCTATTCTGGCATCTCACCCTGACCCTGTCTCCCAAGTTTCTCTATGATGTTCAGTAGCCAGGAGAGAATGGAAGACCTTTGTTGGATAAAGAGAAGGGTGCAGATGAACACTGAGACCTCCTGCCAAGTTACCCATTTGTTATCATAGAGTCCCCTTAAGCTAGGATCGTTTTTATCTCTTTTCTTTTTTTTAATTATTATTTTTTAAGTGTTCAGAGGCCCATGTTTCCTTTAAAAAAAGATTTATTTATTTATTTGAAAGTCAGAGTTACACAGAGAGAGAAGGAGAGGCAGAGAGAGAGGTCTTCCATCTGCTGGTTCACTTCCCAGATGGCCACAACAGCCAGAGCCGTGCCAATCCAAAGCCAGGAGCCAGCAGCTTCTTCCAGGTCTCCCACATAGGTGCAGGGGCCAAGGACTTGGCCATCTTCTACTGCTTTCCTAGGCCACAGCAGAGAGCTGGATTGGAACCAGCCAGGACTCGAACTGGCGCCAATATGGGATACCAGCACTATAGGCAGCAGCTTTACCGGCTACCCAGAAGCGCCAACCTTATCTCTTTTAAGGACTCACTTTACCTGCTTTTGCCTCATATGTATACCAAACTCGTGTATTTTATAGTGTCCAAGTACATACGGCAAAAAGTTCTATTCAATAGGCTTTTGCAGTTAAGAAAGATGGAGAACGTGGACTCTTAAAAAAAAGAGAAATTTATTTTATTTATTTGAAAGGAGAGAAAAAAGAGAGACAGAGAGGGACCATTGCTGTGGCGTAGTGGGTTAAGCCACCGCCTGCAGTGCCAGCATCCCATATGGACACCAGTTCGAGTCCCACCTGCTCCACTTCCGATCCAGCTCACCGCTATGGCCTGGGAAAGCAGTAAAGATGGCCTAAGTTGTTGGGCTGCCGCACCCACGTGGGAGACCTGGAAGAAGCTCCTGGCTCCTGGATTTGGATCAGTACAGGTCCGGCCATTGCAGCCAATTGGAAAGTGAACTAGAGGATTAAAGACCTCTCTCTCTCTCTCTCTCTCTCTGCCTCTCCTCTCTCTGTGTAATTCTGCCTTACAAATAAATAAATTTTTAAAAAGAGAAGGAGAGAGAGAGAAAAAAATATATTCCATCTGCTGGTTCACTCCCCAAGTGACCATAATGGCTGGATCTGGGCCAAGTCCACACCAGAAATTCCATCCAGGTCTCCCATGTAGTTGGCAGGGGCCAAGCACTGGAACCATCTTCTGCTGTTTTCCCAGGCACAACAACAGAGAAGTAGATCAGAAGTGGAGCAGCTGGGATTCAAAACCTGTGTTCATATTGGATGTCAGCATTGCAGGCAGTGGCTTAACACACTGTAGCACAGTGCTGATCCCTGAGAGCCCAAATGGTAACTCAGATTCATTCTTTTCTTTTTTTCTTTTCTTTCTTCTCTTTCTTTTTTCTCTCTCCTTTCTCTCTCTCTCTTTCTTCTCTTTTTTAAGTCTTTGTACTTCCTTGGCTATTATCTCCCTGTGTCCCATCCCTACACCCTCCTCCTCTAGCAACCACTAATCAACTTTCTTTTTCTATAGATTTGCCTATGTTGGACATTTCATACAAATGGAATCATAGCATGTGATCTGTTGTGACCAGTTTCTATCATTTAACAAAGTTTTCAAGGTTTGTCTGTATTGTGTATGTATCAGCCCTTCATT